TCAAGAGATAATATGTTGGGCTATCTAGGGATGGCAACCGGAGGGCTATTTTCAGTGTGGGCTCTTCTTTGCCCCCCGTCCGGAAATGAATGTTTCTTGTTCAAGTCTTGGTATTTTGTTCAGCTATCAAGAAACATTCTGTCACACAACCCTTTGTCAACTGGGGATTATTTTTGGGTCTATCTCGGTCGGAAGTTTTCGCCATACAGGGCTCCAGAGAGAGAGAGAGGGTTTTCACCACAACGATCCTAGTGCAGGGCTGAAGTGGGGGCCTAACGAGTGTCTACATGTTAGTGGTGCCGAGTTTATCTCGTAGGTTGATGTTATGAGATCGGTCCATCGTCTTCTTTGACATAGGCGTAGTGTCGGTCCTATATAACTTTACTGCTGCCAATGTGTCTTTTTTCTTTTTCTTTTGTGAGATTGTTGATTTTTGGTTGTGTGTATCTTAGTTGTGCAAGGGTCGGGTGTTGCTTATCATGCTTTGTATTCATTTGTTGCTACATTTTGAGTTAATAAAAGCGTCCTTTATCGGGAAAAAAAAATCATAGGTTGATGCAGTACTGTCAAAACAAGTACTCCGTCGTACAAAGTTGTACTAAATCAACGGCACTCATTTTAGAACAGAGGCACTACAATCGTTGCCAGAAAAAAAAACTTGTTGTGATCCAGGTAGCAGAAAACGTAGTCCTGAGATTAAGGTAAAACCCTATGTGAAGTGTAACACAAGGGCATATAGCCGAGTAGAGGTTTTAGTACATTGCATATTGTGTGCAGGTGCAGCGCGCGATAGCACACGGATCTACTCCCTTTGTTTTAAATTACTTGTTTCAAAAATGGATGTATCTAGAACTAAAATACATCTAAATACATTCATTTTTGCGACAAGTAATTCCGAACGGAAGGAGTAGGTCGCAGGTACACAAGCTCTCGGGAGCCGGGCTACAGTTAGGGTGTGCAGAACTAGTGCACGGAACAGCAACAGCGGTGGCACACCGTTAGGTGAGTGCAGAGACGAGCTATCGATATATCGGCAGCGGTGCTGTGCCACCGACTGATACCACTATTCACGGCCTGATCACTGCGACATACGATACGAACCGAGATTGCAGAGTGCATGCGCAGCAGGAGGAACATCTTCGTGTCCGAAGTTGTTGGCCATAAAAAAGGACTAGAAGCATACGAGCGCGCCTTGCTACACCGTTCTACGTTTCTACCGTTTATTTGTTTGGTTGTTAATTGACGAATAGATTGCTTGCTACTCTATTCGTAGGTCGGGGGTTGTTGTCTTTTTCATTGGCCTTTTTTGTTTTGCCTTCCATAATTTTGGGATGTTCTGCATTGCAGAATATATCTTTTTTTTGAAAAGGGGGTTCACCCCAGCCTCTGCATCAGAATGATGCATACGGCCATCTTATTAAAACAAATAAATAAGTTTCAATAAGGTCTTAAAAGTCTCGAATTGTAAAAAAAAAGGCTCACTCAGAACCATAAAGGCTAGAATGACAAACTAGCCAGATAAGGGACGCCACAACCAGCTGGCTAAAGACAGATAGGTAAACTAATTGCCTATCCTATTACATGACCGCCATACAAACCGGTTGAAGATATCCCGTGCTACCATCTCCCAACGGATAGATCCAGTAACCAAATGCTCCCTGGCCTCCATCGGAGTGAGTAGCGACCACGAACGGATCAATGCCGTGGCTCGGAAGATAACCTGCAAAAAACGAATGCATGATGTTCTGTTATAAACCAAATCATTTCTGCAATTCCATATAGTCCACAGCAAAGCGCATACTCCCACACGGATATGTCTTGCTAAGCCGGGCTCAATCCCATTAAGCCACACCCCAAATAATGTGTTAACAGTATGCGGTGGCGTAATGTTAAAAGCAATGTGAAGTGACCGCCAAAGAACTTTGGCTAACGGGCAATCAAGAAAAAAGTGCTTAATCGTCTCATCCCGCTCACAGAAACTACACCTAGTAGATCATGTTCAATTACGCTTTGTCAGATTGTCCTTGGTTAATATAACTTGTTTATGGACAAACCACATAAACACTTTTATTTTCAAAGGTACTTTGACATCCTAAACGTGCTTAGAGGTAGGAGTGAAGCTCGAGTTGATAACATCAATATACATTGATTTAACTGTGAATACTCCAGACCTAGTAAGCTTTCAGCGTAATTCATCGGGTTGTTGGAAAAGCTGAACCTCCATCAGTCTTTTAACTAGATGGAGCCATTCTTCCCAACGATTGGCCGCTAGCGACCGTCTAAATTGAATATTAAGGGGGATAGATTGAAATATCGTTGCAAAGAACACCTCACGATGTTGAACAATCCGATATAAAGACGGGTATTGAATGGCTAAGGGTGTCTCTCCGAGCCAAGTATCCTCCCAGAAACGTGTACTAGCACCGTTGCCAATAATAAACTTTGTCCTATTAAACAAGGATTGTTTGACTTTCATCAGTCCT